CTTCTATTCAATTTTCATACTGCCGCACTGCCAGATCTATCTACCTACCCTCTTCTAAGACCATTCTCTAGCTAATAAATTATCACACTAAAGCTTCATGTTAGATAGCATTTCGAATCAACTCTGAAAATCGCTAACTTTGAGTATAAAGTAACATAAAAACACTTTGAAGATAAACAGTGATTTTTGACAGATAATTTTCGATATGACCTCGTGGGAATCGGTTAAAGATTGTGCATATCTTTATTGCGAATCGACATATAGACAAAGGACCTATTCAAACAAACTTTACACTTCGTGGACTGATCTATACAACTTGAATATTTGTTCTTTCAAATCGTTTTCTGTCCAGAATTCAGTGCATTACGGTATGTGCTCTTAACTGCATTGAACGAAAGGATACTTTCGAAGCTACTTGTCAAGAATTATGTGTGATTTGGAATGGGACATTCTCGTTGAATGATTAATTCGTGAATTAGCCGAGTTTGAGGTGACTGTTTTTTTTTTTTAAATGAAGGAAAATGAGTGTTGTAATATGACTGTAATTTGTATTGTTGTTAATCAACTTCATGAATTGATTCCATTTTTTTTATGGGAAATCCGATTCGAACGGAATGCATAATAGGGATGAATAACAATTACAAAGGATGGGATCAGTCCACATCGTGCTCTTTGCCGTGCGAATCTATTTGCTTTTTGCTGAAGGAAGTGTTACTACTACCTAAAGCTACAACAAATTTAAACAGCACTTTTCAATGCTCAACCTGTAAAAAATGTCTACCTGGTTCAACTCTTATTCCTCTTCGATCCATGTTTGGACCCTACCCGAGGTAATCCTTCTTGGATATCGATTTGGAAAATTCCTCTTCGATCCTTCAGATTCTTATAGTAATCTGCTTGGAAGTCGATTTGGATAAAAATTTACTGCCGCCATGACGCCTAAACGCAAAAGAAAGGGGCAAACTCTTGACCCCCCTTCTGATGAAATTAATTTGAGTAATCAATTTGATCTGCTCACGGATGATGAGAATGATCCATCATCCAAGAAAAATTCTAGTAAACTTTCCCGGCTTAATGCCAAGAAGGAAAAGATTCCCGCTATTGTGATAACCACAGAAGCACAATTTTTTACTTACGACACCAAAACTGAACGTGTGTTCAAGGTTTTCATGAAAGGACTGCCCAATGGTGAATCCCTGGATCAGATAAAAGATGAACTGGCAAAATTACTTGGAGTTGTGCCACTCCAAGTAATCAAAATGAAAATGAAATCCCGTCCTGGCGATTCACGCAACGGGATTTCTAATGATTTTTATTTAGTTCACTTCAAGTCTAGTGAACTAAACAACCTTAAGGCCTTAGAAAAAGCTTGACTTATGCTCCATGTCCGAGAAAAGTGGGAACACTTCAGGCAGAAAGCGATCCTACAAACTCGTTCTAACCGTCAGGTAGGAAACGCTCCACGTTTCCGACAGGTACAAATTCTGTTAACAACGGTCAGCGAGGAACAAATTCTACATTCGTACCCGTAGGTACAAATACCACCCCTGCTTCAAATGTTTCATCTGTACCTACTCCCCTCGCTTCTAACAATGTTCAGCGAGTTAATGGAGCTACCTATGCTTCTATTGCAGCGGTTAGAAATCAAAATACTAACCAACGTTCTAACGGAAATTTTGACAATTTTGACTTAGGAAGCATTACCGCCCCTAAAATGGAATTTTTACAGAATTCATTAATTGACATGATTTCTGATATGCTTAAATCTAACTCCATGTTTGATGCTATTCAAACTGGAGTAAAATTTGCAAATAATATTGTCATGACTTTAAAATTCAGTAATGGATTTTAAAGCATTAAATATTTTAAATAGGAATGCTCGATCTCTTAAAGATAATGAAGCCGAGCTATTTAACTTTTTGAGAGTTCATAACGTGCATATTGCCGTCCCAGACAACCAGAAGTCGCATAACAATGTATAGAGAGTATCGTAAATAACTACAGTTTAAGTCAACATCGCATATAAGTATGACATACATCGCATTGTGTTTAAGTTAAATCGTATAGAATGCAAATTTGCGACTTATATGCGATGAATCATTTTTCCATCGTACTGTACCACAAATTAAATCGGATTACATCTTAAGGCTTTTAAAATTGAATTGGTTATGACAGATTAAATCGTATATGATGCCAAATCAACTCGTTTAATAAGAAATTAAAATTTGTACGTATATGGCCTCCACTTTTGTAGGTATAAGCCCTTTTTTTGCATTCTATACGATTTGATTGTTTGGATATATGTTTGTATATCTCAGAAACAACTTTGAATATACGTGCATTCTGGTTGTCTGGGGTTATAACTGAAACGTTCCTTAAACCTGGCCATAAGGTTAAGAAGGACTCAAATTATTTAATTTATAGAAATGATCGTCTTGATGGACCCTGTGGTGGCGTTGCCATCATTGTTCATAGATGAATCAAGCATAAAATTCTTTCTTCATTTGAAACCAAAGTTTTTGAAACTTTGGGAGTTTCTGTTGAAACAAAATTTGGACAACTTACGTTTATAGCTGCCTATTTGCCATTCCAATGCGTAGGCCAGCAAAAGAATTTTCTCAAGGGTGACCTCCAGAAACTTATCCGGCATAGGTCTAAATTCTTATTATTGGTGATTTTAATGCAAAACACCGCTCATGGAATAATGCTCAAAGCAATTCCAATGGTAATATCATAGAGGTAACTCTAAGACCAGTGGGTCCCGAAGAAAATCATTATTATTTTTGGCTCACTCAGTACCAGAACAACGGTCCCAAGCAGTCCCAAGCTATTTCACTCACCCCTGCATGTTCTGCATGAATCCACACACCCCTGATGTTATCTGTCAAACTTTCATAGAGAATCAAAACAAACATAGTGTAGTAATAGAATTTCAACTAGAATAGGGTACGTAAATCGTTTGCTTGGGACCAATAGGCTACTAAAGTGGTGAGCCAATTTAAAATCGTTAGTTTCGTATTGATTGTTGGTAATATTCTGTTTGATGATTGTTCTGCAAGTTATTGCACTAACAGTCCAACATGCTTTACTTCTGCAAGAAATCTCTCAACTATTGATTTGGTCTTAACTGATTCATGTCAACTTTGTAGCCAATTGGTTACCCATGCTGACTTCGGTTCTGATCACCTTCCAGTAACTTTTGAAATATCCCAAGAAATAATTTGTAATCCCAACAGCTCTATTTTCAATTACCATAGAGCTGATTGGGAGCAATATCGAACATTTATGGAATATAACTCCGATCCAAACATTCCTTTGCAAACCAAAGATGAAATAAATTATGGTCTTGAATCTCTGACTACTTCTATAGTTGAAGCAAGAGCTGCATCAGTACCAAAATGCGAGGTTAAATTCGATTCAATTATAATAGACGACGATCTTCAGCTCTTGATCCGTCTTAAAAATGTCCGTAGGAGACAATATCAAAGAACACGCGATCCTGCCCTGAAAGTTATCTGGCGGGATTTGCAAAAACAAATTAAAAAGCGATTATCTGCCCTGAGGAACAAACCCTTTTGGAAACTAACAAAATTTTTGAAAAAACCTCAAAAGCCTATTCCAGCGCTTAAAGAAGGTGGTAAAATTTTGATCACAAATTTGGAAAAAGCTCAGAAACTTTCTAAGCAATTCGAGAGTTCCCATAATTTCAGTTTGGGTCTTACTAGTCCTATTGAGAATCAGGTTGCTCGGGATTATCTGAATATTTTCTCTCGGGAAAATATTTTTAATGATTTCTGGGGACTGATTTGGACGAAGTAAGGTCTATAACTAAAAAGTTTCAAAATATGAAAGCTCCAGGTGATGATGGAATTTTCTATATCCTCTTAAAAAAACTCCCAGAGAGTACCTTGTCTTTCTTGGTAAAATTATTTAACAGATGTTTCCATTTGGCATACTTTCCTGATAAATGGAAAAATGCACAAGTTGTTCCAATTTTGAAGCCGGATAAAAATCCAGCTGAAGCTTCTAGCTACCGTCCAATAAGTTTGCTTTCTTCAATAAGTAAACTTTTTGAAAATAGAATGATGCTTCACATCAATACGAATACGTCTCTGCATTTTTGGCAGCTGACTCAGCATACATTTATCAATTATTGGCTCAGTATTGGGCATATTTGGTTGAGTTTACAAAAACTTAGAGCCATTTAAGGAAAACGCCTTTTTCTTGAAAAAGCTTATTCTCTTGAAATAAAATGAACATAACTTCTGGAAATTTTGCTCATTTTTAGTCGTAACAAAGATCGGTCATCTGCCACTAATTTTACTTAAATTCGTCCACTAGGTAAACATTTGAAAATTGAGCGTTTTACTAAAATAAATCTAACTTCATACAGGCTCCTCCAAACCCAAATTATAGCAATAAATCATTAAACATCTTTTCAATCACCACCCACGATTTAAAAAAATAAGTCTCTTCATCATGTTTATAAAAAATCTTCTAGTGTGTACGATACATTTTGAGATACACTGTATGTCCTGGCTTGTATAGCTGTTGCAGTGTTCGAAGGTTTCTATTGGTAGCAAATTTATTAGACCTTGTCTTTCTAGCTACTGTCCATGGATTATCTGTTTGTGGGCTACCTTCTAGGATTTTTCCTCACCAACTTGCGATCGTTCCCAGATGACTGAATTCATTGAATTGATAAGATTACTCCAACTTATCTCAGTTATTTTCCAATCGATTTTACTGTCACTTTGGACGTTTAAAAATCATTTTACGAGGTGATAAGTTAAAGATTACATGATATTCCCTCTTGTTACCCTTAAGATATGAAGTACTCAAGTAGAAATTTGATAGATTCCAGTCTCCTGCGGACAATGGCCTTGAACAGTTGGCTGAATATGAAGTTTTGGGTGGTTTTTCTACTCTGCCATGGCATGTAAGTCTATAATCAGATTTGAATGTGTTTTAAAATATTTTATCGTTGCGTTCATTTCCAGAGTAACCGTGGTGGTAAACGGGCAGAAACGATTTCCGGAGGAGTTCAAATTTGGCGTAGGAACATCTGCTTATCAAATTGAGGGAGCATGGAATGAAGACGGCAAGGGTGAGTCCATCTGGGACTACCTGACTCATAACCACCCGGAGAAGATCGCTGATCGTACGAATGGAGACATCGCTTGTGATAGTTACCGGAATGTGAGTTTTCAAAAAAAAAAAAAATATATTGGCGTCAGGAGTTAAAGATTTTGTTTTTATAGTACAAACGTGACGTGCAAATGCTTAAGGAACTTGGAGTCAACATGTATCGATTTTCGATTGCTTGGAGTCGGATCATGCCAACGGGAATCAGCAATCACATCAACCAAGCCGGAATTGACTACTACAATAACTTGATCGACGAGTTGATCAAAAATGGTATCGAACCGATGGTCACCCTGTACCATTGGGATCTTCCGCAACGGCTGCAGGAAATCGGAGGCTGGACCAATAGAGATATTGTAGATCACTTCAGGGAATACGCCCGGGTTGCTTTCGAGAAATTCGGAGATCGTGTCAAATGGTGGACCACGTTCAATGAACCGTTGCAAACGTGTTTGTATTCATACGAACACGATTCGATGGCTCCGGGGTACAATTTCCCTGGAATTCCATGCTATCTGTGCACTCACAATCTCTTGCTGTCACATGCGGAAGCTGTTGAGCTTTATAAGACTCAGTTCAAGCCAACCCAAAATGGTATTTAATTGAATGCATTTCAAAGTATCCATGCACTTAGTGTTAATTGTTTCAGGAATCATCGGAATTACGGTGGATTCCTCATGGGCTGAACCGAGAAGTGATTCAGCTGATGACCGTGAAGCTTCAGAATGGTCGATGCAGTTCCATGTATGTAACGCTTTCTTTGATTCAACGAACCCATATAATGAATTTATTCCTTCCAGATCGGATGGTATATGCACCCAATCTTCGGCAAGACGGGAAATTACCCACAGGTGATGATCGATCGTATTGCAGCCCTGAGTCTACAGCAAGGATTTAACAGGTCACGTCTGCCCGAATTCACCGCTCAGGAGATCGCTAAACTCAAGGGTTCGTCGGACTTCTTCGGAATTAACACCTACACGACCTCGCTCGTGTACAAAAATGATGCAATCAATTCAGTCAACTACAGAGTACCATCGTTTGATCACGACCGAAACACGGTTGGCTATCAGGATCCCAGCTGGCCATCAACTGGATCGGGATGGTTGAAAGTCTATCCAAAAGGAATGTACCACTTGCTGACCTGGATTCGGAACGAATACGACAATCCTCCCGTTTACGTCACGGAGAATGGAGTCAGCGACCGCGGTGGTACCAAGGATGTAGCACGTGTCAATTACTACAATCAGTATTTGAGTGCTGTGTTGGACGCTATGGCCGAAGGCAGCGATGTTAAGGGATACGTTGCCTGGAGTTTGATGGACAACTTTGAGTGGCGGGCGGGATTGACGGAACGCTTCGGAATGTACTACGTTGATTATAGCGATCCGGGCAGGAAGCGGATTGCAAAGACGTCGGCGAAGGTGTTTGCTAATATTATCCAGAAAAGGGTTATCGACTTGGAGTATTTGCCAGAGCCGGAGGTATTCATTCCGGATAATAATTCTGCTATCACTGGTCATATTTCACGTTGCCTGTTAGCTTTGGCATTCGGTGGATATTTGTTTGTCATGTGGATTTTTTAAAGAATAAAGCAACTTTTTATAGCACATAAGCACACTATCTCAGTAATCACCAGTCTTATCACACACCTCACACAGCAATAGGCGCTCATTCTCTATTCTAGCATCCCATGTAAATACTTGATCGTAAGTAGGTAGGATGTATCTTGCGTTCAGAATCATAAGGGCCTAAAAGCGATGATCGATTCTCTTCGTCGATTTTCTCTTCGCATTACCACAGTTCATGAACCAATTTTTCGAAATTCTTACAATACAATGTAGTGAAAGGTTGTACTAGCTAACAAATGCAACATCAAATGCACCGAGAAATATTACCCAGACGAGTTATTAAAAAAATAGAAAATCTATGAAGAGAATTGATCATCGCAGTTAGGCCCTTACGACTCTGAAAGCTAGATATGATAATCTTCGATCAGTACCAAAGCGGATAATCACAGGTAGATTGGAGCTCACGGTCCACTAGTGTTGGTGAGTTGTTTGCCGTCAATGTTCATGAAAAGTTCACTATTTTGTCATACACGACGCAAAAAAAACGGCGGATTTGGACTGATTTGGACCTGTTTCATACTACCGGAAGGTGTATGCTGGTCACTAATGCCATGTCAAATTGATTTCCTACGCAAGCGATCAATTTTTGACGTGAATTTCACGAATAAACACGAAAAGGGTTGATTAAAATTAAAGCAAAACTTGCCATATACGATCGTCATAGTTCATTTTAGTAAACAAACTAACACTTCTTCCTTATTTGACATTTATGATCAGCCGGTGCCGATGGTGTAGTGGTAAGCGTGACTGCTTTCTAACACCCCAATGGGTCTGGGTTCAAAATCCCAGCCGAGGTCGGTGGGATTTTTCTGAGGTATAAAAATCTCTGGTCATGTCTTCCTTAGGAAGGGAAGTAAAGCCGCTGGTCCCGGCCCATGTTTGTTGAATGGGTGCGATATCCTACGCAGGAGTGGAAGCTGCCTTCCTGCACATTCGATTGCCGTCAATGGATGGCAATCGATGTCCGTCGGTGATTGGCACTAGATTGCGGCGTAACAGAGACCGACTTTAAATAAAGGAATGAAGAATACGAAGAAGAAGAAGAAGAAGAAGAAGAAGAAGAAGAAGAAGTGGCACTTATGATTTTCCGTCTTGGATCCAGTACCGAACAGCAGTTAGCAATAATGTACGTCCGTCTGTGAAAGGAAAATAATTCACAATATAAACAGTATTCGAACCATTTGACCGCAATAAAAAGATTTATGTGTTATAAACGTCGCGTGTGATAAAGGTACCGAGATCCGAAGCAGTCCACCCTAGTGCACTTATCTCCCTGTTTGGCTGCGCCAAATCGTTCAACTCGTTTTCGCCATAAATAAGATTGTGGCCTGTGGATTTGAGGACATACCTCAACTCCCTAGGCTAGGTAAAGGAGTCCGCAGTTGAGTAGTAAAGTCACATTAATGGCCCTTCGCTCTATTTCAACTTCTGTTCAATTCTCACACTGCCGTACTCAAGCGGAACTATCAATCTATCCGCTTCGGAACATTCTCTAGCTTATAAATTATCGCGCAAAAGCTTCATCATCTTGATATTAAATTAGTTTTTCCTCTTAACTATGAAAATCTTAAACTTTACGTATGAAATAACAAAACACTTTGAATCAATGTTCGAAAAATATGTTCAATTCTCATTTGGTGACGGTCGAAGCGCGCCGCTCATAAGCGCGATGCAACCTCGCCCATAAGGATTATACACAGGTGTGTAAATTTGAAAGTATTATATAGCAGCAGCTTCCGGAGTGAATCCTGGATAAAGAGCCGCCGTGTGTTAAATCAATGGGCGCAGTCGTACGGCCATAAACAGAAAACAGATGGTATAATCCCTTTTTGAGAAATTATCCATCGCGCTTATGGGCCATAATTACATTAGAGTTTTGAGAGGGACATAGTTTATGAGTTCTTCTTACTCTTCCTTGAAGGCGACTTGAGTTTAGCTTCCGCTTTCATACGTGCCCCCAACTTCTTTATACATACCGTCAAACCCGGGAGCCTTCATGTTTTTGGTGCATTTCAGCGCTGAGCAAATCTGTTGTACTGTAATCATATCCGCCGGAGGCATGACACAAGGGGAGGCATCTAGGTTTTGAACGCATTGCGCAACCTGATCTTCGAGCGGACTTTGGATATTCGAGCCAAGCAAATGCGATGCAGCGACATGCTCGCCGACCGCGTTTGCTTTCACCTGTAGGGTGATTAAAAGCCGATCGTCATCATTTTCGACTCTGAGAGGTGGAACGGGTTTGGGATGAGTTTTCAGGACCTTGGCTACCTTCCAGAATGGTCTGGAGCGGTCGTCCAGATTCTGGACAATACGCCCGAAACTTTCATTTCGGAGTGAGTCCATTCTGGAAGCAATCTGCCTGTTCAGATCGGCCATTTCACGTTTTTGGCCCAGATCTACAGTCCTCTGAAACTGGCGTCTACGAACATGTCTCAGGCGAATGAAGAGTTGGGTGTGCGAATCAATGGCAATAAACTTACCCCTCACAGGAACTCGTCGGACGCACGCCTCATCAGCCACGGTTATGGCTTGGTGGAGTCCCTCCAACGCTCGGTCGATGTCAAGCGGCGGGTTGTCTATGATGTGTCTGTCTACACCACGAGTCCAAACTGGGCCCAGTTTACGCAATGGTAGTCCTTCCCGAGCAGGAATGAATATCTCGATACCTTAAATTGGTATGGAAGAGCCTGACATAAGAGGTAAAATACCAAAAAATAATACCAAAAATATGTTCCCACAATACCATTCCAATACCAAATTATGATAATGCAACACCAAAATAATGCCACCCACGTATTCTTTTGGTATCCAAATATCAATTTTTGGTATTCACAAAGTATTTTGCATATATTTTTTTGGTATTATTCTTTGGTATTTTACCTCTTATGTCATGCTGGTATATACCAAATTTTGGTACCAGATCAGAATTAGGTATTCATTAGTTATTTTCTCCTGCTCAGGTTTCGCAGGCTTTAAGCGGGAGCCACGTTGCAGCCCAGTTCAGCCACCACCGGTTGGTGGTCGGAGCTGAGTTTGTTCAAGGCTACCGGCTTGATCAAGCCGATATTTGTCAGGAACAGGTCTAGCGTCGATTGGTTGCCCGCCGGTTAGATAAATGTTGGTTCATTCGAAAACCAAACGGAGTACAACCCATGCTGTAAGTGGTTGAACAGTAGACAACCGTTCTGGTTCTGCTGATAGTTCAGCCAGGCCTCATGGCGAGCGTTTAGATCTCCTCCTACTACGAAGCGGGAACCAGTACGGGTGATGGTGGACAGGTCCTTCTTCAATTTAACCGCTAGCCGACTGCTGGCGGCACACGGTCCAGGGCAGTAGACGGTGATGAACTGGACGTATCCAGTCGACGACTCCACTTCCACACCAAGGGCCTCGATGATAGAGGTGCGGATATGGGACAGAGTGTGGTATTTTATTCCTTTCTTGACGACGACCGCAACACCACCACCCCTGGAGCTGGTGCGATCAAGCCGAATAATGTTGTGGTCAGACAACCAGAAGCTGTCACCGCACTTGGGATGGGTCTCTGATAGGAGGCCCACGTCGATACTATGCTTGAGGAGGAAGTCAGCAAGCTCGAAATTTTTGGCTCGTACAGAACAAGCGTTCCAAGTGACTATAGTTAACGGTTTAGACGCCATACTGAATGATAAACTTACCGAGCACTTGGATCTGTTCGGGTTTGTTGTGGCACTCACGAAGAACGCTGGTCATGTCGACGAAAATCTTCATGAGCTCATCCGCAGAGAAGCACTCGGAGGAGACCTAATTTTGGGCGCATTTGCCACAGCGTGGATTGATGTAGCAGTTTCGGGTGCACTGCCCGAAATTGAAGCAACGCTCACACCGGGTGACGTCGTGACGGCTGCCACGGTATGGCTCCCATTGAACAATGATGAAGTTGATGGAGCGGATGGCCTTCAATGCATTGAGCGTCACCGTTCCCTTCTGGAAATGTACCAGAAAAAGGCAATCCGGGTACGTTTTCACGTTTTCGTCTCTCCTCGTCATCCGGAAGACTGCGATTGGGGCTAGCTTGTAACGGTCCTTAAGTTCTTCTTAGATCGACTTGGGGTCGAAGTTCATTAAGCCCCTGATGACTAACTCGAAGGGCTTCTCACGGGGGAAGTCATGTGTGAAGTATTCCGCCCTGGAATCCTTCAGGTACTGCACGGTTGCTTCATACTCCGCTTTGGTACGCAGCATCCACTTGGTGCCGATCCTTCTCAGCTTGAATTCAGCTGCAACGCCCAGCGATGTGAAATCGCCAATGAGCGTGCTGAGTGGCACTTTGATCACCACTAGTGGAGGAAGCTTAACTTTTGCCGCACTCGGGACGGCAGAATTTTCATGGTCGACGGTAACGCCGAATTCAACGATATCGCTGACGTTCGTCATGGTGTCACGGCCACTCGCACCATCGGAATGGCTTTGATTCTTCTTCCTTTTCTTCGTCCGCTTCACTTCCGCTGGTGGGGCATTCCCAACATCCGTGGGAAGAGTAGCGTACCTATTTGTGATAGGTACGCACGAGCTACCTTCACCACTGTGTAGAGTCCACTCCCAGTCTGTGACACTTCTTGAGAATCTCAATAATATCCACAACTTAATCTCACGCAACAAACCTTCCTTTAATTATTTCGATCCCGATCGCTATTTACATGCAACTGACTCTCCTTACCCTTTTCACCACTCACCTATTCTATCGGTGTCCTTCTCACTCTCTCTGTTTTCCTCTTTCTCTCTCTCTCTATCATCATCAAGGGGTGCGACACTTAGTTTAAGAATCATACTGGTAATCATCGACTCTACACACTGTTCTCTACTTTCTCACGGAGCTTGCTCAAGGTTACTAAATTGTCCTTGATCTCAGATCAAATAATGTACCAGGTCAGTCATAACCGGTACAAGGCCCTTACTGCCGTGAGATGACAAAGTGACGTA